TATTTTTAGTAGACACAGGGTTTTGCCATGTTGACCAGGCTGGTCTTGAACTCCTGACCTCAACTGATCCGCCCGCCTCGGTCTCCCTAAATGCTGGGATTACAGGCATGAGCCACCACGCCCGGCCAATGCTAAATTTTATAACTGCCATTTGCACATCTTTTAAGATGACCAAGTGATTTTTCTTCAATTTATATTGTTGTGACATTTTACTTATCTATTCTACATTCCTGAGATAAACACAGATTAACCATATTACCTTTTATTTTTACATATTATTGGGTCTAATTTGCTAATATTTTGTACTAGTCTCATAAAAAGAGTTGACACATACTTCCTGTTTTTCTATTCTCGGAGAGTCTGTATGAGACTGGAATCATTATTTATTTATTTATTTATTTATTTATTTATTTATTTATTTTTGTATTTTTTTCTGGCAATGTTTAGCAGACTTGCCAGCAAAGCTATTTTTTGTTTTTTTGGTTTTGTGTTTTCGCTTGTTTGCTTTTGCTAATCAGCTGACTTTAATATTCGCCATATAGCTATTTGAACTTTGAAGCTTTCTTTGTGAAAAGATTTTGACTATTGATCCATTTTTTTTACTTGTTAGAGAATTATCCTGGTTTCCTATTCCTCAACCTGCATTGGTAATTTTCTAAATAAATAATAAATTTTCTAACTTATTAAAAATCCATATTTTATTTTTTACTATAACTATAATAATGTCCCCCCTTTCATTTCTGCTATTATTTGTGCCTTCCTCTTTTTTTTTTTTTTTCTTTATCACTCTCCCCTGCAAGTAGCAGTGACTCAGAGCCCCAGACTCAAGCACCACTTAAGCTGCCAGGGCACTCCTGCTGCCCTTTCAGATCAGATGCTTCTGCACAGATGTTCAGCAAGCTCTGAGTATGTTGCTTGGAGGCAAATGCGTTTCAGAAAGATTAGGATGGGTCTCCATGGCACGTGTATACCTATGTAACAAACCTGCACGTTCTGCACATATATCCCAGAACTTAAAGTATAATAAAAAAAAAATTTTTTTACAGAGAATTAGGGTGGGTCTTCTCTTTCATTCTCAGCATTAGATGGTACCTACACTATGGGGAGATATGTATTATGTTTACCATAGTTAAGGAAATTGAGTTTTACGGAAGTTGGTTTTCTTTTTTTTTTGAGACGGAGTTTTGCTCTTGTTGTCCAGGCTGGAGTACAATGGTGCGATCTCAGTTCGCTGCAACCTCTGCCTCACAGGTTCAAGCAATTCTCCTGCCTCAGCCTCCCGAGTAGCTGGGATTACAGGCATGTGCCACCGTGCCCGGCTAATTTTGTATTTTAGTAGAGACATGGTTTCACCATGTTGGTCAGGCTGGTCTATGAACTTCTGACTCCAGGTGATCCGCCCGCCTCTGCCTCCCAAAGTGCTGGGATTAAAGGCATGAGCCACCACGCCCAGCTGGAAGTTAATATTACCAAACCAAGATATACAACTGATTAAACAGTAGAACCCTAGGATTCTGGGATGTTTTCCAACACCAACCACTTCTCTAATTCAACAGACCAAGTATGTATCTAATGATTCAATTTAATTCTGACACTAACTACCCAGAGTTAGGGTAAGTTAGGGTGAGCAGTACCTCTGGGTTTCTTCATTTGAGTCTACTCTGCAACCAGCTACAGCTCTTAAATCTGAGGTAAGAGTGCCACTTACTGGTAGCCTCATCACAATGCAACTTGAAACCTGCTCACAAATTTAATTCCAAGTGCCAGTGGTATGCAAAAGAAAAAAGGCTCAGTAGGGTATACATATATTAAAACATTACATTGTAACTCACAAATAAATAAATAATTTATCAATTAAAAACAAAATAAAACTTAAGTGCTTTGTAGCCATTCTCCTGGCTACAATACTATGAATACAACACTATTCTCCTGGAACAATACTATGAAGAAGCTTCTGTAATTTGTATCTCTGTGATTTTTTATTAGTAGCTTTGTGAAAACACTCCAAAGTTTAGAATCCAATTACCTAGGTCATCATGGCTCACCAGCCAAATCCAGCCTGCTGTCTGATTTTGTACTCTCACATCTAAGAATAATTGTATACGCTAAATAGTTGGAAAAAATCAGAATATTTCACATATGAAAATTATTTAAATTCAAAATTCAGTGTCCATATAGAAAGCTGTATTGGAACCGAGCTCTCTTGTTTATGCATTGTCTATGGCTGCTTTCGACCCACAGCAGTTGAGTAGCTGCAACGGAAACTGTGCAGTCCTCAATGCCTAAAATATTTACTAATTGAATCTTTACAAAAGAGTTTGCCAATTCCTGACCTAGATTCCAACCTGAGCAAATCTAAACTCTAATCCTCAATTTTCATTACTCATAAAATGGGGATAATACCTGCTAAGAGTTTTTAGGAAGATTAGAGTTATAAGCACAGAATCTCCTTAAGATACTCACAGAAGTCTAAGCTAAGACATAAGCACCTTAATATGTTCAAAGGGAACTCATAATTTCCATCTATAAATCTGTTCAGCCCAGTATCAAGTAGTATTTACAAGCATGGACTTTAGCGTCAAAATACTGGCTCCACTCTTGGTTTCACTACTTATTTGCCTACATGACTTAGTAACAACATGAGGGAATGGAGAGGCAAAGAAGTATGAAGGTTGAGCGCTCAGGCTTTGAAAACTAGAATGCCTAGTTTCCATTCTGGCTTTGCCACTCACTAGTCAGGTAATCTTGGGTAAATTATGTAACTTCCCTGACCCTCCACTTCCTCATCTGAAATGTAAGTGTAAAAAGAATACTGATTTCATTAAATAGCTGTAAGGCTAAAATGACTTTATTTATACAAAGAGCTTCAAACATTGCCAGCAACTTACAGCCATAAATCCCAACAGATTTAGAAGGTTCTTCATAGGATTATTCTAAGGATTAAATAAGAGAATGGCTACAAAGCACTTAGCACAATTTGTGGTACTTAGAAAGCTATCAAAGGACAGCTAGTACCCTTCCTACTGATTCCCTTTTAGTAAAATCTGATGAGAAATCAATTGCAAACATAATTTCTCATCAGATTTCAAATAAAAACCCAACTCCTTCCCTTGACCCTCTAAATCATATACATCTGTCCTCCATCTGCTTCTCAAGCTCCAACCTCCTCCCTCACTATATTGTAGCCATCATAGCCTTTCTCATCCAAGTTATGCCAACTTTGTATCTCCTCGTGAGATATTTGCACCTGCCGTTCCCAGTAATCTTGGAGCTCAGTGCATGAGTTGAAGCTGCCTTCTTTTATGTTTTTGAGACAGGATCTTGCTCTGTCACCCAGGCTGGAGTACAGTGGCATGACCGTGGCTCACTGCAGCCTTGACCTCCTGGACTCCAGTGACCCTTCTACTTCAGCCTCTGGAATGGCTGAAACCACAGACATGTGCCATCACATCCAGCTAATTTTTAAATTTCTTTGTAGAGACAGGGTCTCCCTATGTTGCCCAGGCGGGTCTCGAACTCCTGGACTCCAGTGATCCTCCCGCCTCAGTCTCTCAGTGGTGGAATCACAGGTGTGAGTCACCATACCTGGCAAAGTTGTCTTCTAAAGTCCTTAACAAATGTGAGGTTAGGCATGGTGGTTCACTCCTGTAATCCCAGCACTTTGGGAGGCTGGAGGATTACTTGAGCTCAGGAGTTTGAAACCAACCTGGGTAACATAGTGAGACCTCAGCTCTACTCAAAGAGAAAAAAAAAATTTTAGGCCGAGAATGGTGGCTCACTCCTGTAATCCCAGCACTTTGAGAGGCCCAGGCGGGCAGATCACGAGGTCAGGAGATCCAGGCCATCCTGGTCAACATGGTGAAACTCCTTCTCTACTAAAAATACAAAATTTAGTGGGCATGGTGGCACGTGCCTGTAGTCCCAGCTACTCGGGAGGCTGAGGCAGGAGCATCACTTGAACCTGGGAGTTGGAGGTTGCAGTGGCCCCAGATTGCGCCACTGCACTCCAGCCTGGCGAAAGAATGAGACTTCATCTCAAAAAATTAAAAAAAAAGTTTTAAAAGATAAAAAAGAAGTGAATATGTACACATGCCTTGAAAAGAGAAGATAATGTAGACAAGGTGATTTGAACAGACAATAGAAACATAACTGGAAGCAAGATTCTTCTGAAGGTGCTGTAATGGCTGAATGGTTAAGACACAAACTATCACCTTCAAAAATCAATTCTTTTTACTATCTTAGTTACATTTTCCTTCGCCCTTCCGACACTTCCAACACTTAAACTAGCATCAGGCATAGAGGTGACCACAGTAAGTATTCATCAAATGAATACCATGAATAAATGAATAGCTGGGGAAAAACTACTCTCATAAAGAGAACACAGATTTGTACAGTCAGTTTATTTTTGCTATTTATATTAAGTTTACATGTGCCTGATCTGTAGTGGATATCTCATTGTTAGTTCAGCACCACTTCCTTCCTCTGACACAGACTGACTCTTCCATACATAGACATAGTGGGGACTGTCAAATTATTATGGGAGCCAAGTCCCAGTTGATTTGCCCAGTTGGAATCAAGTATGCAACCCCTAATTCCTCATGTCTAGGTCGTTAATTAACCTCATTTTTTTTGTATTTGAGAGCGAACTCCCAGACAGTGGTAAACATAGAAATGCTTAACACATGGGAACTGTTAGTTGCCATGTTCTCCACCTACATCATTAAAGAAGTTCATCAGTAAAGAGAATGAAGCTAACAGGAAGGATGGTCTCCAGGGCTACTAACTCAAAACTTCAGACACTTTCTGTCCTCCTCATGGTTTATATATTCAACTTATCCTTCAATCAACATATCCCATATCCTTTCATTTTAAAATTAAATAGCAATGGAGACAAGTTCTCACTATGTTGCCCCTGCTGGTCTTTTCAACTTTCTGGTTGAAAAGGTCTGGGACGGAGCTAGAGAAACTTCATTTATTTTTTATTTTTCTGAACCTATGGATTATACTAAAACTTTTATTTCTAGTGAGTCCCCAAATGGTACCAATGCTGCTGGTCCAGGACCACACACTTTAAGAACCACTGGCCTACATTAAGAAAATGGCAGGCAAAGATCCTCAGAAACAAAGTCAACTCTCTACTAACACCTTGGTGGAAGAGGTGATGGACAGTGGGGAGAAGAAAGTGCTCACATAAAGTCCAATTAGCAAGGGGCAGAGTGGAGTTAATGAAAAGAAGACTTAGTCCTCACAGTCATTCAAAGACCCAGACTGACAATCTTTGCCATCTTCGGTGGCTTCCAAACTTATCCTGGATATGACCATGCAACCAGCAGTTGGGAGAAAAGAATGGAGGATCATGCAAGAAATGTTCATGGGGCAAGCCTGGATTCCTATGCCCACATTTCACTGCCTAGAACTTAGTCATATGTTCTCACAGAGAGGCTGGCAGTACGGAAATGTCCCTGGTTGGGTTGCCACATCTTGGCAACGTATCTTCAAAGAACAAGACTCTCTGGTAGACACCTAGCAGTCTCTGCCGTCAAACCCCTTTCCCATTGTGGACTGAAGCAAGTCTGGGCTTAGCTTTAAAGAAAATGTGTAGCTAATGACATAGACATCTTAATTACTAAAATTAATGTCTGTAACTTAAAATGGCCAAAAGACTTATTACCTGAGTGACTGGAGAAAAAAACAATTCATGGGACTTCCCTGCAAGAGTCCATTCAGGATAGGGAGAAAAGACTGAGATAGTGGGTTTACAGGAGCAGTCATGAGGAAAAAATAAAGTTTCCGTTTTATAATTCTTCTGGGCTCCTCTCTATTAACATGTTATACTACCTTTTGCAGCTTAAGCAAAATTTTTAATGGAATAAGTTTAAAGATATCATAGTTTTACATTTATAGATTGATATCCATTATTCCTCTATCATTCTTAAAGCAAATGATAAATCCCCTTTTCAAAGACGAAAACTTTTGCTATTACTGAGGTTATCATCAAAGTTTTACTGCAACTCCAAAACATAGGAATGTCCCATACAACAGCGGTGAACACTTTGCTTTTTAAAGTGATTATTCTTAGTGCAGGGGTACTCATTTGTCTATGCTTGTTATACAGTGAAATTACTGCCTATGACATCTCATAATTGAAAAAGTTGGAGTCAAGATTAAAGCTGTTTACATTTTTAGTGAAACCTCTCTTAAGACTGTCCAAAAGAAAATAAACTAATATATGAGGCTATTTATCAAAAGGAAAAAAGAAACATAAACATCTTTCATGGTCTTTCATTCATTTCATCAATTAGGACACACAAGGCAGCATCTTTCTCTATAATCTGATCTCTCCTATGACCTGAATTTTCTCTTTGTTCATTCTGTCCAGTACAATTGTTGCTATCATCAGCATCCATTGGTTCAGTTTTTACTCTCATTCCTGCTTCTGAATGAGGCAAATCATCAGGCAAAGAAGCCAAGCAATTCTGAATCATTTCAATTACTCGTTCTAGGTGCTTTTGAAACCTCTCAGCTGTTTCAAGCCGTTGACGTTTCTGGACCTCCATCATGACTCTCAAGGTCTCTCTTGCTTGGTGGGGTCGGTATTCATTTATAAGATGATGCACGTGTACAAAAAGCAGCTTAAGATCTTCTAGTTTCTCTTCTCGTTTTATACTCCCAGGGCTCCTTATTAAAATATCTAAAAGGTCCAAGAAATTAATAAGGATAGACATATTAAGTTTTCTCAGTTCTTTTTTGTGATCAAACTGCATAGGATGAAGCCGTTCGATGCCCTGACTTTCCAAAGGGCGGATGATAAGATCATCGCATTGGAACTGATTGCCAAACATCATGTAACTATCTTTTATTGGAGGGGGAGGCTTGGGAGCTAAGCCTTCTTGAATATTTTCATCTGTATATTCCTTGATATATTGCATTGGAGGTGGTGGAAGTGCACTTACTTGCTGTGGTTCACCCATTGTGGACTATCAAGAACCTACGGACACAGACCAAAGACTTATTAGAGCCACAAAACAAACCTGTTACATTTCATAACTACAGACAGAATATTTTTTTCCTTTTCTTCCAGTAGTTTGGGGTCCAAGACAAGATGATCTCCTTGGTTTCTAAAACTAACATTTATGATAGGGAAAGTTTGCCATATTTTCTAAGTAGGCATTATATTCTCAACCATTCACATATTTTCCATTCTCTCCCTAATAATTTCATCAGCATAAAAAAATGTGTAGCATCTTCTGATCTCTAAAGAAAATCTTCCACCGGGTGCGATGGCTCACACCTGTAATCCCAGCACTTTGGGAGGCCGAGGCAGGCGGATCACAAGGTCAGGAGATCGAGACCATCCTAGCTAACAGGGTGAAACTCCGTCTCTACTAAAAGACAAAAAAAATTAGCCGGGCATGGTTGCGGGTGCCTGTAGTCCCAGTTACTCAGGAGGCTGAGACAGGAGAATGGTGTGAACCCAGGAGGCGGAGCTTGCAGTGAGCCGAGACTGTACCACTGCACTCCAGCCTGGGCGACAGAGCGAGAATCTGTCTCAAAAAAAAACAAGAAAATCTTCTGGATTCCACACCCCTCACCATTTATGCCCCCATTTCTCTACTCCTCCATAACCAAACTACACATGTTGTCTCCCAATCTCATATCACAATCACTTTTGCTTTATGTTACAGATTGATTTCCAATAGCAAACACTTACTTGTATCTCTCATAAACACTGACAAAATTAACACTGCTAAATCCTAAACACATGGTATTATCCAAAGTTCCTGAATGAAATGATTCAGTTCCATATCCTTTTTGTCACAGTAAACTATGCAATTTTATATGGACACATTAACTTTTTTTTTTTTTTTTTTTTGAGACGGAGTCTTGCTCTGATGCCCAGGCTGGAGTGCAGTGGTGCGATCTCAGCTCACTGCAACCTCCGCCTCCTGGGCTCAAGCAATTCTCCTGCCACAGCCTCCCAAGTAGCTGGGATTACAGGCGCACACCACCATGCCCGGCTAATTTTTGTATTTTTAGTAGAGACAGGATTTCGCCATGTTGGCCAAGTTGGTCTCTTAATTCCCCACCTCAGGTGATCCGCCCACCCTGGCCTCCCAAAGTGCTGGGATTACAGGTGTGAGCCACCGCGCCCGGCCTGTATGGACACATTAACTTCCCTACAACTATCACAGAAATTTCAAACCCCAGGTTCAAACCCAGTATCTTCTATGGCCATAATAACCTCTACTTACTCTACCTTAAGCCTAGATATACCATCCAATGAGAAGATTCTGAAGTGCTCCTTCACACTGGTATTATCAAAGTTCCAAGATATAACACCCTCTAACATCAGGTGGGGCAAGTATTCTATTAGAAGCAATGTTATACTTAGAATTCGTGAGGTACTAAGGGCAGGCGTGGTGCAGCCCTGAGTTTCCACTATGCCACAGTAGTGGATAGGATGATGCAGCCTCGACCTCCCAGGCTCAAGCGATCCTCCCACCTCAACCTCCCAAGCAGCTGGGAGTACAAGGCATATGTCACCACGCCCAGCTAATTTTTGTATATTTTGTAGAGACAGAGTTTTGCCATGTTACTCCGGCTGGTTTTGAACTCCTGAGGTCAAGCAATCCTCCTGCCTTGGCCTCCCAAAGTGCTGGGACTACAGGTGTGAGCCACCACACCCAGCCAACATTTTAAAACTTATAACATAAATTCAGATTACAGAAAAAGTGCATGAATATACAAAGAACACTTTATATTCTTCACTCAGATTCTCCAAATGTTAACATTTTCCTTCATTTGCTTTATTGGTTTCTCATTCCTTCACCCCTGAATACTTCAATGTGTTTTCCCAGGACAAGAATGTTTTCTTCTACCCACAGCACAATTACCAAAATCAAGGAATTAACATTGATCTGGTACTTCAAAACACAATTTTTGACACCTTACATTTCATTCCACTCAAACCTTTTTAGGTGACGAGTGCTGCTCTGTACTTTCCTACACGATGTGCATTCCTGTACTTAGGTTGTCATTTTCCTAAGGCCAACTACGTGACAGATACTGTTGTTTTATGGCCTCTCTAACATAATCTTCATAACAATTCTATGAATTAAGGTTATTTGTTTTGTTTTTTGAGACAAGGTCTCAATCTGTCTCCCACGCTGGAGGGCAGTGGTACGATCAGGGCTCACCGCAACCTCTGCCTCCCGGGTTCAAGGGATTCACCTGCATGACCCTCCTGAGTAGCTAGGGACTACAAGTGTGTGCTACCACGTCCAGATAATTTTTTATTTCTAGGTAAAGACAGGTTTTCACCATGTTGGCCAGGCTGGTCTGGAATCCCGACCTCAAGTGATCCGCCCACCTCGGCCTCCCAAAGTGCTGGGATTACAGGCGTGAGCCACCACAGGGTCCCATGAATTAAGTTCTATTATCAATTTCATTTTAGAGGTGAAGATCCCAAGTCTCAATGAGGGGAAGTGTTGCCCCAGATCAAAAAGTTAATAAATGGTACAACAGGAATTCTTATCCCAGGTCCCTTTAGCTCCAAAGGACAAGCTCTCTTATATCTCTAAGCCGTGAAGCATCTAATTGTACAATTAGAACTTGCATATTACAAAAATTATATTTTTCTCTACTGTCTCTCTAGATGGAACTTTTCAAAGGCAATGGAAGTCTTATTTTAATAAAACCGGAGCCAAGCATCATAACAGGTTCTGAGACTCAAGATCCAACATCTAGTGTTTGTTCTGGGGGAGAAGGCGCCTCACCAGAAGACGACAGATATTCCAGGGTCCCAGCCCCAGAGATTTGATTCATTCTGTCCACTGTGAATGGGCCCTGGTATGTCGCTTTAAAAACCTCTCCAGATGGACCTGACGATTAGGCTTGGTTGGGATCTACCGCCCTCGCCTGCCCCCGTATCTCAGCTGTTTCACAACTGCTCCCAGAAGAAGGAAGGGCAGGGAGGGCTACTCTCATGTTACAAAGGGCCAGAAAGGGCAAATAACTCGCCCAAGGCCACACAGCCTAGAAAAACAGCGGCGAGGGGACCAGACACCACGTCTCCCAACCTCCACTCCGGCTCGGCGTCCCCACACGGAGGAAGCCCAGGGACTGCAGCGCTAAGAGCCCCCTCCTCCAGGCTGTCCATCCCGAGACCTCCACGAGCGGCGGGGAGGCCGCGCTCTCGGAGAGACTCGGGACAGAAAGACGAGAGAGCGTCTTCGGAGGCCGAACTCCTCCATGCCTCCCCAGTTCCCAGAGGAAACCGCGGGGTCCAGAAGAAAAAAACGCACACACGCGGGGGCCCCAAGCCGTTGCCGCCCACTCACCTCAACTCTGGCTTTACACTGGTAGCCGCCTTCCCCCTCTGCAGCCGCAAGCAATTTCCGGTCTCCTGCTGGAAGAAGCCACCGACTCTGTCTTTGATTGGCTATAGGAGCTGTCCTTTAACGAGATTCTAGATCCGCCTCAGAGCGATCGCTCGCTATTGCGCCTGCGTATATTCGACTCCTGCCATCCCCACCCCTTTTACTGACTTTTAAAAGTAGTAGCTGTTTCTTCGTTTCTTTAAGGCATAAAATTAAACAAAACATCTTATTGCTTTATTTTTTATAGACCCCTTATTGACTAGAAAAAATCTTATATTTTAATGTGTAACATGCTCTTGTAAGACTTCCATGAATTTAGACATTTATGACGCGAAAATAACCTCTCAAAGAAAACTTAGCAAAGGCGCACTTGCTAGTGCGCCTGCGTGTGTTCCATCCGCTGCCCGCATTACAACTCTTCTGCTGACAGTCGCAGCTGGTAGTTCCATTCCTTTTGTCTTGTCTTTTTTGATTTAACCCATACAATGAAGACATCTTACATACAAATTCGAAAATATAGATATGCAGGGTTTTTTGTTGGTTTATTTTATTTTATTTATTTATTTTTTTTCTTTGAGACGGAGTCTCTTTCGCCCAGGCTGGAGTGCAGTGGCGCGATTTCGGCTCGCTGCAACCTCTGTCTCCGGGGTTCAAGCGATTCGTGTGCCTCAGCCTCCCAAGTAGCTGGGATTACAGGCATGTGCCACCACACCCAGCTAATTTTTTTTTTTTTTTTTTCCTTTTTTGTGTTTTTAGTGAGGCTGGTCTCGAGCTCCTGACCTACAGTAATCCGCCCGCCTTGGCCACCCAAAGTGCTGGAATTACGGTCGTGAACCACCTAGCCCGGCCTCCCCCATTTTAATTCCCCCGCACATATAAATTTATTTCCTGAAGAAATTCATCCTCACTGCTGACCCCAATATGTCCTGCACCCGTGACTTCCAATGCTTGTTCCCAGTCCTCGTTTTACTCCCTCTGTCAGCAGCATTTGGCACATTTGATTATTTGGATTGCCCCAGGACTCAGTTCTCCAACCACTTCTCAGTCAGATATCACCCAGATACATGCAGGCCCTGGAACACCGTTTCCTCTGCACTTCAGACCCTCATATCCAGTGGTGACAGACACCTTTACCCCGTTGCACCTTACTCAATTGCAAATGTTCAATCTAAGGAATCACCTTTTTCTCCTTTCTCCCATACCCCACCGAAACTACCATACCAGCCTTTTGCATTAGCTCTATTTAAAAATAAGTAAATACACTTTGGGAGGCCGAGACGGGTGGATCACGAGGTCAGGAGATCGAGACCATCCTGGCTAACACGGTGAAACCCCGTCTCTACTAAGAAATACAAAAAACTAGCCGGGCGAGGTGGCGGGCGCCTGTAGTCCCAGCTACTCGGGAGGCTGAGGCCGGAGAATGGCGTGAACCCGGGAGGCGGAGCTTGCAGTGAGCTGAGATCCGGCCACTGCACTCTAGCCTGGGCTACAGAGCGAGACTCCGTCTCAAAAAAAAAAGTAAATAAAGTTCCAAATATGACTGACCACCGTCCCCACTGGTATGGTCCTATGCCATGCTGCCATTATCTCTCATCTGGATTTCTTTGATTTTTGTCCTGCCTTAGTCTATTTACCACACCTTCTTAAAATATAAAACCAGTCTTAACGCTCTTCTATTCAAAATCTTTCTACTACTTTTAGAATAAAATCTGACATCCTCCCCCGGCCTATATAATAGGCCCTACAAAATTGCCAAGTACATCCCGGTCTTGGGGGCAGATGCCTTTGCCTGGAACTCTTTCCATAGATATTCACACGTCTCATTTCCTTATTTCTCTGCCCCTTTTTTTTTTTTTTTTTTTTTTTGTATTTTTAGTAGAGATGGGGTTTCACCGTGTTAGCCAGGATGGTCTCAATCTCCTGACCTTGTGATCCGCCCGCCTCGGCCTCCCAAAGTGCTGGGATTATAGATGTGAGACACCGCACCCGGCTTCATTTCCTCATTTCATTCAGGTTTCTGGTCAAATGTGACCTCAAAGAGTTCTTCTGGGGTTACACTACTTTATACAAAATAGCGCATCCCCAATCTTTCTGTTGGGAAATGCCCCTGAAACCCTTTCTATGTATTATCTTTTTTTCATAGAACCTCTCATCATCTGAAATCATCTTATATAGTGTATTTATGTATTTTATTGCCTTTCTTATCCATCAGAAATATCAGATTTAGGAGCATGGGACCTTTGTTTCATTTACTGCTGTTGTGTTTGAACTTACATACAAGAGTGGCTGAAAATGGCAAATACTCAATGAGCGTTTATTGAATAAGGAACGAAATGAATACAATCATCACTTTCAAATAAATTCATAGTGTGGCTTTCATGGTTATACCACAGTCTCTTTAGCCAAAGCCTCATTGTGTTAAATTACGTTTCTCCCAATTTTAGCCAGTATAACTACACAGGATGAGGAGCATCCCAGTGCATATATGTTTGTGCATGTGTCCAATTTTGTTCTTCAGAATAAATTTCTAGAAATAGAATTACTGGGCCCAAAGGTGCAGTGTCTTAACAGTAGCAGAATGAAGGCTAGAATTTTGGACTCTTGACTATCAATCTAGTGTTCTTTCCAATAAACTTCAAATGAATAATGGATATGAAGTGCATATCATGAGAAGGGCTAGTGACAATATGATGTGTGTTACACATTTAATTATGTGACTATATTTGCAGAATCTCGATGGAAAGCTTATTCCTTAAAGATGCCTACTGCAGGCCAGGCGCGGTGGCTCAAGCCTGTAATCCCAGCACTTTGGGAGGCCGAGACGGGCGGATCACGAGGTCAGGAGATCGAGACCATGCTGGCTAACACGGTGAAACCCCGTCTCTCCTAAAAAAATACAAAAAATTAGCCGGGCGAGGTGGCAGGCGCCTGTAGTCCCAGCTCCTTGGGAGGCTGAGGCAGGAGAATGGCGTGAACCCAGGAGGCGGAGCTTGCAGTGCGCTGAGATCCGGCCACTGCACTCCACCCTGGGTGACAGAGCGAGACTCCGTCTCAAAAAAAAAAAAAAAAAAAGCCTACTGCAGCTTAACAAGGAATATGCTCATTGAATAAATATGTGTTGTGTATCTGTTGTGCCGGCACTGGTCTGGAAGTCTAAAAAGACAGACAAAAGCCAGTGGGGCCTTTGAAAAAGGTGTTCTCACGGCCGGACGCAGTGGCTCACGCCTGTAATCCCAGCACTTTGGGAGGCCAAGGCGGGCGGATCACGAGGTCAGAAGATCGAGACCATCCTGGCTAATACGGTGAAACCCTGTCTCTACTAAAAATACAAAAAAATTAGCCGCGCGTGGTGACGGGCGCCTGTAGTTCCAGCTACTCGGGAGACTGAAGCAGGAGAATGGCGTGAACCCGGGAGGCGGAGCTTGCAGTGAACTGAGATCCGGCCACTGCACTCCAGCCTGGGTGACAGAGCGAGACTCCGTCTCAAAAAAAAAAAAAAAAAAAAAAAAAAAAAGGGTTTCTCTCAAAAAGGTGTTCTAGAGAGACACAGACAAGGAGTATGTAAACAAAAACTTCGAATAGTGACAAGGGCTATGGGGGAAGTATAATACAGATTAATGTGATAGTGACGTGGGTTGGGGGATAGCTACTTTACAGAGGGTGGTCAGGTAGCCTCTCACAGAAGGTTAACTCTGGAAACAAGATGTCAAGGAGTGAATTGTGCAGAGATCTGGAAGACAGCAAATGCAAAGAGCGTGGGGCTGCCATGATCTTTCTGAATTAGAGACAGGAAGGGAGCCTGTGTGCTCCCTAACTAGTGAGCAAAGAAAGAAAGAGTGGGGGAGATGAAAGGGTAGAAATGGGCAAAGACGCACGGTAACCGACTTCTTGCCTCCCTTAGGATCTTGGCACATTATAGAAAACATTGCTATCATTTGAACCTAAATGGCAAGCAGATTTCCACCCTATTGATTTTTTAAAATTTAGGTGTATTGAGGGATACTTCACATAGAATAAAATTAACTCTAGGTGAATAGTTATGTGAGTTTTGATAAATACACACTGGCATAAAACCACTACCGCCCGGATTAAGATGTAGACTATTTCATCACCCCAAACAATGTTTTTTTTATTCGATTCCTTCCCTTTATCCCCATCCTCTAGTAACCACTGATCTGATTTCTGTTCATATAGTTTCACCTTTTCCAGAATGCCATATAGATGAAATTAGAAAGTATGCAGTCTTTGGTATCTGGTTCCTTTCACCTAGCATAATACTTTTGAAGTCCTTCAATGTTGTTCAATGTATAACACTTTGTTCCTTTTTACAGACAAGGAATATTCCATTGTATGAATGTGCTGTAATTCATGTATCCCTTCACTGGTTAATAGACATTTGGGTTATTTCAGTTTGAGGTGATTATTAGCAAAACTACTATAAACATTCCCATGCAAGTCAATTGTATGGACATATGTTTTCATTTCTTTTGGATAACAACATAGTGATACAATTGCTGGATCTTATAATAATTATATATTTAACTATATGAGAAACTGCCAAGCAGTTTTCTAAAGAGGCTGCTTATATTTCATTTCTCAGCAATCTGTAGGAGGTATAGTTGCCCTCAATCTGCACTTGGTATTATCCTTTTAATTTTTACTTTTTGCTATTCTAATATCTGTATAATGATTTTAATTTGCATTTCCTTCGTGTTAGGTATATTTCATGTTTACTGGCCATATATATCTTTTCTTTGGTGAACTGTCTGTTCAAAATTTTTGCCCAATTTTTAAATTGGCATGTTTTCTTACTTACTATTGAATTGTAAGGGCACACACACACAAATACACACAAGGTATAAGTCCTTGATCAGATATGTCTTTTACAAATGTTTTCTCCTAGTCTGTGGTTAATCATTTCATTTTTTAAGTGTCTTTCAGCAAGCAGAGTTTTTTCTTTTTGATGATGACCAGTTTATCAATTATTTTCTTTCATGGTTCATACTTTTTGTGTCCTTTCCAAGAATCTTTGCCTAACTCAAAGTCACAAAGA